GGTAGCCAATAAGAAGATAGGTAAATTAGTTTGAGCAGCTTTTTATTTACATTAAATATACTTTCTTAATTTATTATTAACACAATCTTTATAAGAGGAACTTAGCTCTAATTGTTATGGGGCGGTGGTTGGGAGGGGGGGGGAAATTAATCACAATTTACTGACCCTTAAGTTTGCCGTTGTTTAACCTTGCCTTGCTGTTGTAATTTGGCACCTATTTACATTTTTAACGTATTTACAATATTTTATTAAAACAAAAGAAAATGTTTAAATATTTTATAAATGACCTATTATTTAAAATTTGTTTTATTTGCCCTTTAAATTATGTAGCATCCCGCGCCCTTTTTTACCAGTCCGCGCCTGCACATAGGCACCTTTTTTGGGGGGAAGCTGGTGGGTCAAGTGTGACAAAAACTATAGGATACTTATACAATTTATTGAATATAATGTCACTTAATATATTACTTATAATAGCTTCCTTATTATCACAATTTAAAGAGTAGCCAATATTATAAAGTCCAACAATCGACGGACGATGGTTGGGTATCTTGGAGAGAGTCGTTCGGGCCTCGGAGTAAATAATAACATGAGTAAAAAAGGCAGATTTTCTCACTAGACTATTGTCTAAAAGCATAATTAATAAAATTTAATTTTTCTGTGCTACAAGCCGAGTAGCTATTTACAAAACGTGTCTGGACCAACATTTTTAATATTGCATTATTGCCCAGACTGGCAATCTATGCATTTATGAGTTTGGACTATTACTGAGAGTGGCTCGCCACACACTCATTCTTACAAATTATTGAATAAATAATATTGTTTTTGTTTTCATTTTTCTTATGGTTATCGATCGATTATAAATTATAATACCGTATATTATAATCGGTTCACATTGAATATTTTTTGAAATTAAACATAAACTTATCAGCACAATATATTTTTTTTAATACTTAAACCATATATATATTAAAAAGTATATAATATAAAATACTTTGGTATATCAGCGCTTATATTTATTGTTGAGAGGGCTAGAGAAGGTGTTTTAAAATAAAGTTAGTGCAAATGTACACCCTGCCCCCCCCCCCCATCTCCAAAGGACGCCCCTGCTGACCCAAACTAACCTATAAAGTATTAATAAATATTAGTCTAATATTATGTAATAAAGCTCTGAACAATTTTCGGAGGTATAGCCTTGTAAAGAATGTTTTGAAATTCAATAAAATCACATTATATTCATGAATAGGTTATAGGTATCTAATATTATTAAAATAATTGTTCATTGTTTTGTTTTAGTAAGTTTTTTCAAAATACAATAGATGAATCATACCAACGATTTCTTGAAGAAATGACAAACGAAGTAGTAAGACTTGACTTGTCCACAGATAAAGCATTAAAAAATGTTTTTCGTAAACATATAAAACATAACATTGGAAAGCTTGATGAGGTAAGTTGTGGCATTGTCTATAACAAAACAATTATGTTATTTTTTCAAAAAAAAAAAACAGAAAATTGTTGGAAATATTTTATTCTAGTAGAAGGAGATTAAATAGGAGAATTATTAAACAAACATAAAGCTATTTTATTTACTAGGTACCTATGCCTACATTTCATAAGAAAATTGTGGCCCCCAAATTACCATGGTATTTCACAAATGAAAGATTTTAATTTAATTTATTGTTATTGATTATTAATTGTTATTTAATAATTATTGGTATACAATTTATAAATAAAAGGCCAAAGCGACATTTCATAAGTATGATTCAAATTGCATATTTAATTAATATACCTATCTACTCAACTAGGTATTTATAACTATGTATATCGAATAGTATCTACGGAGGTCACCTATCAAAAATATTAACAAACCATAGAATTTAGTATTTGTATTTTATTGAAATGTAAAATATTTGCATTATTATATTATTTATACAAATACTTTTGAAGACATAAAATATGATATAATGTAGTTTTTCTCATATAAGAGGTACCTATTGACTATTTTATGTTATTGAATACCGTTCAGAAGGTTAAGCTAATAAGTTTAAAATTATGATCATATCCCAGTAAATATTTATACATGCATATTTAATTTAAGAATAGTTTAACTGTGGTAGATTTTTGGGCCAGAAGACAGATATTTCACGAAAATTATACGTTTAATACTATACATTAACCTTATCAAGTTTATACGTAAAATAATCTTATAACTTACGTATAGATTCAAACAAAAGCCAAAACATGTTTATGATCGTTTCAAATTAGTATAGATATAAATATTTAACATGTATATTTTCCTTGTAAAACTGATTCGACTAAATAATAAATTCGACTAGTAATAATTCGACTATCCAATAATCAACGTACGATCAAGATAGAAAAATAAAAGTCATTTTAAACGAAAAATGTTCGAATATTTAAAAACGTATCGTTGAAGTAAAATCAACCTATTTCAACGTATATTTTAAAAATATTATGCGATTAATAACTACGTATATACATACACCAAAGTTATCCTTATTATACACGTAGATTATACGTGCTATGTTTACTGGGATTGATTTAAAATTAACTTATAAGTAGGTAACTGTAGTAATTAAGTACTAATTAATGCACTTAATCCCGTACACTTTCACAGAAGTAGTTTACAAATCATGAAACAAATTATCTGAAATGATGGGCTTAAAGCTGTTAACTTTATCATAATAATTGTCAAACACTTAAATCAAGAAAGAAAAAAATTTGTTTGTATTATGTTTCAAGTTCTACGTCAATGTTGTACATATTATTCAATAATTGGCAAAAATTGGTTTCTAATAAATTTTAATAAATTGTTTGTAATTTAATCTATTTAAAATAATTTTAGAAAAAAATGATGGCTGAAGTGATGAAGGTACAAGCACTATTGGATTTACCGTTGGACAATGATGATCGATATTCTGGTATTGATGACATACCCACACCTCCAACGAATAATGCAAATAATCAACACGATTTACCCGCATTAAAATCTGTAAAATAATTTTTAAATGATCGAGATTCATAAAATAATGTGTACAATTATTTATTTTTTATGCTTGAAAAGCACTAGATAGAATCGCAGGTTGTTACGTCTTGTTTGTCTAACGATTAATAACGATTAATTAATCTTTATAGATATATATTACTGTATTCTATTAAACTATTAATTATTATTATTATTTTCTAAATTATAAATGAACAGCAATAATTATAGTTATATAGTGTGTTCAAGTAGTTTTGTGTATTGGATTTTGATATTAATTACATATTATTATAATTTATCTGGACCATAAAGAACATACCTATAACCTACCTATTTAAGATTAATTTTTTAAATCCTTTACTCTTTTTCTGTGTATTGGACTATGTGAGAAGAGAATCAACTTTGAATTTTTAAACGGCAACAACCATTTTAGATTCTGTTTGGAGTGACAACTATTGAAATATATTGATTTGACAATGATAACTATTTTTGTTTTGTGTCATTTCTTTTTGGAGCAGTAACAATACTTCAATTTTTAACTTTAAGGGTAGTGAGTGACTAGTAGCAATTTAGCATATTGGATCTAGTTTGTAGTTATGTGCTTTGAGGGATCAAAAGTGAACAATATTCTTGGTACTTTTCAAAATAACTGGTTAAAAACCAAAAATTAATATTATTGTCAATTACGAGTATTTTAATAACAGAAATATCAAGTATACTCTAGGTACCTATTATAATTTATGCAAAACATGTTTTTCATTAGTGCATCTAGCTTTTTCAAGCTGTTTGTTGTAAAATTAGTAAAATACTACAAATTGGGTACCAAAATATCAAGAATTAACAAATATTGCAAAATATTGGTATCATTTTTCTTTATGTCGTATGGATTTTAGAACATCAACAATTTAAACATATTGCAAATAATATTAGGTATACCTAATATGACTATAAATTTATTAAACCTAATCATACGAATAGTAATTAAATTTCTTGTCTGAAAATCCAGAAAATAAAAGTAGTTATGTTTAAAGTGCGTTTTAAACCATAAACTAAAATATGCAGGCCAGACCCTCTAATCAAGCTACAGGACAAAGGAGACATGGTCATCAGAGTGGATATGTATTGGATTAGCTAGTCTTACATATTCTCATATAATGTGTAAGGAATCGGCAGGGGCCGACTGTGTCAATAAAGGCCTACTGTCCTAGAACTGTAAAAGGCCCCCACCCCACTTCCATAAATATTAAGAAGTAATTGCTTTTCTTATAGATTTTTTTTATCACACAATTTCCATGCCTCCGACGAGAAAAAAGAATGACAGACTTCATCATGATAGACGAACTGACAGCGAGTATATACTATATAGGACAACAAATTAACGATACCACTCTACCATAATTATTATGTAAATTACAAAAAAATTTGTTCATAATTGAAGAGTAGGTAACCTTAAATTATGTTAACCAATGAAGGCTAAACATAAATTTATTTGAAGCCTATTAAAACACAACCATTTATTGTTCCGACTTACAAGTACGTACATAACAAATTGACGATCAGCAGGTCACTTTTAGCCCCATTAGCTTAAAAATTAGAGTTAGTTGACCTATCATGAAACTTATTGGTAAGAACATTAACTATGTTTGGGCTTGGATTTTTTTACGATATTTCAGTTTTTAAGTGAGTTATTAGCATCATTAATTTATACTATATTATATACACATAACTTGTTAAAAAATTGAACTATCGTAAGAACCCACATTTTTTGGTTTGATATAGATGGGCAAATATTGGAAATTACTATTCTTTTGGAGGGGTTGATTAATCTGTATGCCTATTCTTATTTCGTTTTCGTTAATTTTGATAGATTTGGTTTATTATGTCATTAAGACAAATATTTTTAAAAAAAAGTTTTCATATTATGTGATTAAGCCTGTGGCCTGTTCTCTGTATAATTGGTTATCAAGAACTTACCTCAACTCGTATTTTTATAATAATTTTTTTAGTGGAATTATATTAATAGTCATAAGTCTCACTTAATATTATTAGTTAAGAATTGAAAAAAATGTTTGAACATATTTCATTAGCTACGTTATGGTTTTTAAGATTATTATCTTATATTTTAAATTATAATGATTAATAATTACAATAAGTATAGTTGGGGATAACCCGTTTGGGCGCAGTATAAATAATTTACCTGAAAATTGTTACACGTTTGGGCGCATTTATAAAGACACCTTTGGGCACAATAGTAATTGAAAATCGTGTGTAATCTAATCCAATTAGTACTTAATCGTTTGATCTGTAGACCATGTCTTAATCATTGGAAAATACCACATCAAAATATATAGCTATAGATATTTATCTACTAGTGCAGATAATATGTAATATTATATTGTTTTGTGTTCTCCGTTTGATTTCCACCTTTTATTTGGGCTGAAGAGCCACAAACATACCCAAGAACAACTAATGGCCCAGAATTTTTTCATTCAAATTATAATCAGCAATTTTATAAACAACATCCTAACTATCAAAATTTTATTAACGTATTAAACGAAATTCAAACCAAGACAAATTTAAAAATAAATAGCATTGGAAAAAAAATAACTAATAAATTAAAAAAAGAAACTGAAGAAAAACTAAAGTTTGTACAAAAATGTTGGGAGACTTATAAGGTTGAAAAAAATATATTAAATTACATTAAAAAATTAGGACCACGTTTTGCGGGGAAAAAAATTAATTAATTAATAGAAAATTATATATAATATACAATAATATTGATAAATAAAAAAATTAAATTAGGCTTAAAAAAATATATATATTTTTGGAAGACTATAAGCCAACCTCCACGCGGTGTCTTCTGGATAACGCTAATAGGCTTCGATTTAATAAAATATGTTAATATATGCAAAGAAATAAATGCGCCCAAACGTACTATTATAAAGGGAAATATTACGCCCAAACGTGTTATGGATTTACGCCCAAAAGTGTTTTGTTTTGGGTAAATGCGCCCAAACGTATTTCCCTCGTATAGTTATACGTTTTTTTTAAATCAGGCAGGTGCCTAGGAAATATATACTTCTAAAATAATTTAATAACTTGTTTTAATATATTGATAGGTACTGATATATAGGTAGTTAAATTGTATAGTATAATTAATAATTATAATTTTTAATCCATCTTGATCCTTGAATATTATATCTGATAAATAAATATGTTTTATAAAACCCCTTTTAAGTTACTCAAATGCAATCAAATATACAGCATTACAGTTACCGCCAGAAGTGATAACTGATAAGTGGCAAATGTACCTACGTTAGCCATCTTCACATGTATCTCAGTATTCTATTTTGTGATTCTTAGGTATATAATATTAAATATTCATCTATAAGTGTCTAGTATCTCTAGAGCTGGACTTTTACAACAAATCAGCGAACTAACATTAAGCCATGGATACGAAAGCTTATTATAGGAATTTCGATTTGGAATCAATTGATGTCACATTGCGATTTTGCCAACAGGAGTATGGTGATGTCAACTGTGTTGTATGGGATGCATCACTAGTATTGGCCAAGTATTTAGAAACTTTGTTCTTGAAAAACAATGAAACATTCAAATCTAAAAGAGTGATCGAGTTAGGTTCAGGATTGGGATGTGTCGGTCTAGCTGCTGCATGTTTCGGGTAAATCTAATATTGTAAGTTATTTTAAGAGTTGTGTATTTGAAATAAATGCATTTTCTCCTATTTGCTACGTTTATATTATGGTATTAGAGCGGTTTTAAATCTAGGTTACCTATTTCTATTTTTATTGGTAAATAAATAACTCAAACCATCAGTTACAAAATAAGTATCTGTGAATTTCTTGACTATTAAACTACTAACTTAAACGTTTTAAGGTAATTGTAATATAATCATAGACTAATAGTAAGATGTACTTTTATTTATCAAAATAGAAATTGAAACTTCAGTGTCTAAAATTGTTGTCTGTATGAAAAAAATTAATGTTTATAAATGTTGAAACTCGATTTAAGAAGGAAAGAAATTATATTAAGAGGATGCCACTCTGGGATTCGTTGCCTTTGTCTTACAAGTGCATAACATACCAAATGTACGCTCAGCAGATCATGTTTAGCTCCGTTAGTTTAAAAATTAGAGCAAAATGACCTATTATAAAACTTTGTAAGAGTATTATTTGTGTTTGTATGTGTGCTTTTTATGATACTTCAATTTTTTAGCAAATTTTGTATATATAATATAGCTTATATAGCTTGAATTAAAAATGCTCATAACTTGCTTAAAAACTTAACTGTAGTAAAAAGCCCATTTACAAACACAGATAATGTTTCTATCATCAATTTGATAAAATAGATTGATTCACTCCAATTTCTCAACTATCAAAGCTAAATGTGATCTTGTGTAAATTTGCTCTGTTATATTGATACTCGATAAAACTAATTTTTTTTAAAAATTTAATTTTAAAAGGTTTTTTTTTATAAATATTTTAAAATGCATTATATTCAGTTATAGCTTCATAATTTTATATAAAATGTAGTTTTAATTTATTGTGTTATATATATGTATATTTTTTTTAGGGCAAATGTCAAACTTACAGATTTACCAGAAAACTTACCTCAGTTACAACAAAATGTGGAAGAAAATACATCTTGTATAAACGGTAGTGTTCAAACCGTTGCATTAACATGGGGCACTACGTTTGAATCTGAGGCTTTCGATTTTTTATTAATGGCAGATTGTATTTATTATCCAGAAGTATAATATTTAGATTGTTTTTTTTTATTGCTACCTCCTTAATTCAATGATACTATTTTTTAAAGGTGGTGGAGGCATTGGTGAAAACAATAACTGAGTTGACTACACCAAAAACAGTTATATTAATATGCCAAGAACTTAGAGAAACCGAAAAACAAAAGAACACTTGGAAGATGTTTTTAAACTTATTTCTTGAACACTTTGACGTATCATATGTCCCAGAAGAAGAACAACATCCAATTTTTAGCAGTTCTGATATAATAATAATAAATGCCAAAAAAAAGTGCATGTGAAATAAACATTTAATATAATCAAAATGTATGACTTTACTCTATCCAGTAAAAATGCGCAACTAGGCAGCAACTAAAACACGTCACATGTTCTGCAGAGTAGCACCTCCTACTAGTAGAGTATAGTTTTAATATTTATTTAAGCTCATATAAATGATTTCCTTAATATCTCAATATTTTAAGCACATACAGTTAATTTTTATAATGTAGTTTTTTTTCCCAACACAACATTTTTACTTGAAAATCTGTTAACGATTTAGGTTTTATCTTTGATCCTAAGCTTAGTCCTAACTTGCATATTGAACAGGTCTGCTGCAAAACTCTCAAAACCCTCGGTTTTGTGAAGCGGTTAGCTGCCGAATTCAAATTAGTCTCCCCTTTGAAAGCTCTTTATTGCTCGCTTGTTAGAATATGGCTGTCATCTGGAATCCTCAAACGGCTTGTAATTCAATCATGCTCGAAAGAGTTCAGCAAAAGTTTTTGAACTAAGTGGGCAACATTTTAGAAATTGATTGTTCCAAACATGACTATACACTGGTCCTAATATTTCTTAAATTAGACACTTTAGTAAGCCGTAGGCTAGCAGCAAATCTCACCTTTTTGGCCAAACTATTGCAGGGGAAAATTGACTCCCCGGACTTACTATCTCAAGTGTCTTTTAATGTTCCAGTCCAAACATCTCGCCATCTTGTTCCTTTTTCACTCGCCACTTCCTCAACTAACTATGGTAAAAATGAACCACTACGTCGCTGTATGTACTTAGCTAATCTAGACCCTTCCTTCTCACTAAATAATTTTTAATTTTTCCTTATAATCTATTTATTGTGCTAAATGTATTATTGTAAATTGGGCAAAAGTCCGTGTTGTATTATAAAATAAAATTTCTACTAATCATCAGTTATCACTAAATTATTACATTAAAAAAACATTGCAAGAAGAAATTGAGTGTATTGTAACTTATTTCATTAAAAATATTTTGGTTGAATTTGAATTCATCAGTTTGTTGAATTCTATAACTTTAAAAATGGTTTTCACACTAAAAATATTTTGTCAATTTTATACAGAATTCTAAAGTAAAATACATGAATAAATTGAGTTTTAACAAGTACATGTATGCATTGATGAATTCAGCAAGCACTTGCTAATTTGACTTCCCCATGACCAAAACCCATGACATATTAAGAAACTTGGTGACCCTAGAGCCTACAGTAGATGGAAGCCCCTAAAACACAGAAATTCTATTAATAAAATATTGTGATGCTATAGAGCAGAGGTATTCAAACTTTTTCATCCCACGGCTCCTTTAAGTCTTCACAAAATGTTGACGGCTCCCAAATTATAAATTACCAAAAAATCAATGTTTATATGATTGTAAATTATATTTTATAATTTATTTACCATATTAAATGTAAAAAATAAATTAAAGCTATATTTAACTAATGATTGTTGTAAACAATTCAACGTTTCCCAACCGGTATGCCTCAATGATATTAGTAAAAGTTTTTCGTAAAAATATTTATTGGTTTTCAATTATATTACGCAGCTCCCTTCGACAACTCCCTCGACGCCCCTGGGAGTCGTGACGCACAGTTTGAATACCTCTGCTATAGAGGCTTATAAAAAAACAATAATAGTAATTATATTATTGTTATTTTACCTATAAATGTATTTCAAACAATTTGTTTCAATTTGCCTTTGTTTGATTAAAAATGTTAATTTCCCAGATTATTTTTAAAATTGTATAATAAGAGTATTGTGGGTCTTTAACTCAGACGAACTTTGAAGGCCCTAGCCTAATTATGCCACTGATTAGGGCACGGATTTTTATAAAATAAAATAGTTAAAATAAGTTGGTAAATATGGTTTTTTCAAAAATATTTATTAAAAAACATGAAATATCTAACAGCTTTTATTTAACATTCATTATTTAAATATGAGTTGTATAAAAAATAAAAACAAACAAACTATATTCCGGCCTATAAAAAAGAAGATTTATTTCAAGATTATATACTAACGGCAACGTCCAATCTGAGACGTTAGATTGTTTAACAGATATTGTGGTGACATCAATAAATATTACAATTTACAACAGATCGATCATATTTCCCACTGAATAATAATTATTGTGAATCTTATGAAATGAGAATCGGGTAAATATGAAAATATGAAATATTATATACTTATTCTTAAGATACATTAACTTCAAAATATACAATAAATAATAATGGCTCAGTTTAATATTAATTAAGATGTCATAAAAGATGATAATTTATAATCAGAATTAAGAAATCTACATTCAATAAAGTTATGTCTTTATATGAAAATCTACAGGGCGTAGATTATGCGGCATCTTTGACTGTCATACCTAATACATTTTTTTTCTGGTGCTGACATATTTTTTAAGAAGTTTTTGATAAAACCATCAACTTAATATTTTAAAACATTTCAATTCCTTTTATATTATTATACTCAATTTTTTTCTATTTGATATTGAACACCGACTAATTCAGTTTTTCACTAGGTACTAAATTAAACCTACCAACCTACCAAGGGATAGCAAAAAAATCAAGGTGTACTTATCCGTGGATATAACATGTTAAAAAAATAACAAATTTACCTGAAAATTGTATAGGGCAAACAAAAATATTTTACTAAGAACACTGCATTAATAAACACACAATTTTACCTTTGAACCATTAGCATAGCAAAGCACCATTTTAGTGCAGAAAAACTAAAAATGTGTGTTGTAATTGTATGCTAATATATTTCACATCATTTGGCTTACAATTTTTACATCCACATAATGCTGTTACGTATATTTTTAACACCGTACAGATCCGCAAATTGATAAATTTTAGTACACTATCCCTAACATATATATTGTGTATGCGGTGGCCAGACATCCCGTTGTACACGAGAAAGTCTTTATTTTAAGTCTGTCCCGGTGTTCCAGCTAAAGCTTTGGAGATGCTAAATTGTCTTATTTTTTTAAAATATCTCATTTTCATACTAATAAAAATATGTGAAGAAAATTACAACAGCAGTAAGTATAGGAACCGATATTAAAATCATTATGTAAATAATAAAAAGGTCTTTTTTTTATTCAATAAAAGACGATATTATGTAATTTGAATAATAATAAATGTTTTATTTCAGTGAATATAAGAGTAATAATTAATCCTGTACTTAAGTATTTTATGCCTCACACGAATTACATATGAAAAAAAGTAACCAGAAATTTCAATTAATTATTATAATCTTCAGTTGAAAGTATAGAAAAATAATACTCAATAAATTAAATATAGGAAATACTTACATAATTATTATTTTATTAGTTTAAGATGTATTGGAATGTAAAAATTAAATTTAAACAGTTAAATATAAACAAATTTTGATTTAATACTAATCCCTTAAATAAAATAGTGTGATTATATTTAGATGCTGCATTCTGACGCATGTGCCTGTAAAACAAAATTATAATAATAATAAATTATTATTTTAGTATAAATAAAAAAAAAGTTATTTTACTTTTGTGACATAAAATCGTTGTCTCAGATATTAAGTATTTGGACAATTTTATCTGACAAGAGTTAAACTTTAATTATTTGCAACAGAGATAACAAATCATTAACTCATTGACTGCCACAAGAGGGAATTTCGTCCCACACTGTTATGTCGACTTTAATGACTCATGAGATCAAATAGCCCCTCAGTTACTGTCCAAATATTGTGCTTTCAGATTCTCTGTTATCAGATGATTAAAATACTAAACTTAGCATTTAAATATTTATATTTCTTATGATTTTTTAAAGGTTGGTTGTTATTACTTAATGCATAACACACTCAAATTTGTGTGGCAGACATTTTTACTCTTATATGACACTGAGGCATCAGTATTCAGTATACAATTAATAATTTCCGATGAAAAATATAATTAGTTACCTCAATATCTGGCGTAGGATACAACCCAAAGCATAAAGGACATTGAGATTGTTGTGATACATTTTCATTTGTAATTTCGTTCTCAGGATTTTGATGAGAGGGTGATGCTCGAGATATTGATTGATGACCATTATTGCTAATACTATTTTTAATATTTTTCATTTGTTTATTTTGAAGTTCCTAGAAATTAAAAATAAATATTTATCTATACTTCATTACTAACAAAATTTACCCATTTTATACAGACAGAAATTATCATGTAGTATACATAATGTCAAGAATAATAAAATCATTTGGATGGTAGTAAGTCTACATTTCTGAGTTTTAAAGTAATAATGAAAATCGGTTCCAAATCAATTTATGGGAATTTACTATTTAAAGAATATAATAAGTTTGATGCCAATAATATTATATTAATATAATTATGAAAATATTTTTTAGTAGAATGTAATATTTATCTACAGTTATTAAAACTTCCGCATATTATAAAATAAATATTTATGAAGAATGCAATAATCATAATATTTTAAAACCCGGCATTATACTAAATAATCATATAAATAAAAATTTTTTCTAAACGCTATATTATATTATTTATAAATAGTTATTTCTTACTTGTTCTTGCTTTTTATGTCCATCATCCAATGCTTCGCTTTCAAACTGATTAAAATATTCATTTGAGCAATTTTGATCTGTATGTGTAGAAGGTACTATAGTCTGACTATCCGACAGGGAAACCTTGTTATACTTATTCTTCTTTTTTTTACCTTTAGGTTCACTTTTATTTTCCTCTGTTTTTCCTAAAAGGTTGCTATTATCTGAATAAGACGGTTTTGAATATACTTGAAACTCATCAACAAATGTTTTGTCCGGTGAATACAATTTCTTGTCATCTATATTTTCATTTGCTTTTAGGTTCATATTTTTGAAAACATTTGTAATGCTATCAGGTGTATTAACCACTTGATTTTTAAGGCTATTGTTATTAAGTGTAGTATCATTTACTTTTGCATTGATTGGCAATAAACTATCGCTAGAGTAAAATAAACTAGTCTGTGGTACGACTAAATTAATCTTACAGTAACCGTTTACCATACTTAAAACTGAAGTTAAATAATCATTACTAGATAGAGTTTCATCATCCGACATGATTTTGCTACTTAATTTTTTGTTTTTGTATGACATTGTATGAGGTCTAATTCTAAAATATAAAAATACTAATTATTAGGTTAAACATTAAGGTGATTAAAACAAACATTGTTGATATGGAGTATGGACAAAGTATTATTATAAATAATTAATTTTATAATAAGCAAAAAATATCAATTATTTTATTCTAGTTTTCTTATGTTGAACTTGTAATAATATGTATGTGAAAACATACAAGTATATAATTTATTTTAATGTGCATAATATGATAATCATAAAAAAACATCATTGTCCAAGTCCATTGACTTACCAATAGTTGTTACTTGTTAATAGGATAGGTCCGCATCTGCAATAATGCAAATATTCAATGTACTTAAAATATTAAAATCTTTTAATGTAAATAATAAACCTATTGAATCTATCAATGTTATCAATAAATTGTAAAATATTATAATGTCACGGTAGACTAAAGAAGATAACAAGTAAAGAAACATTGAAGGAAATTTCTCTGTTCATTGAAAGCATACTAGGTACTTTTGTATATGTTATCATTCCTACATCTACTAACAGATCGTATCAGTTATTACTGTTATCATTTACCCATCGGAGCTCGTAGGCTCCTACCTTTTGGCATTTAATAAACAACGACGAAATGTTATGTAATGTTATTGAAATTTTAAATTAAATTATTCTTATTCTTACCGTTACAGTTATAAGTAACCATTTTATTTTTACAAGGCGTTACTAGTTACTAGTTTGAGCGTACTTAGTTGTACTATAGACCTAAACGGCTAAACACTCAATTACTATATTACAATTTTTTTTTATATATTTGTGGTTAGTACTTACGTCTTACAAGCATAGACATATAATATATAATAATGTATAGTGTTGTATATATATATTATTATTATATATTGATGTATGCTTACAAGCAAGGTGGATATATAAACATATATCCACCTTGCTTACAAGTAATTACTTCTGTAATCACCATTCAGTATTATCAGTTAACAATTTATAACGGTCAAATGGCGCGATTTTGTTTTGTCTGCAGTTGTTAAGAACACTGTGATACCGGTCAACACGACCATGAATAATGAACATAATAATATATTTGACTACTCTCTTGAAGATGATCAATTTTTGAAAGTTTCTTATGAATTATGATAATGTTTTAAAATATAATATTTTTATGTTACAACTCTGACTTTCAAAATTCCAGGAAATAATGAACAAAATATAATACTAGGCATAATAGTAATGAGACAATGTGCGTTTTGACGTGTTGTTAATAAATGATTGGTTATTAAAAGTGTCTAAACTCAAAAATGAACAAGGACTTATTACGAATCATGTCAACGCCCAAGAGTATAAAAAGGACCAAACCAGAAGGTGATCATTTTACATAATTATTTATTTACTCATTGGAAACAGGCTTACTTGTTAAGATTACATATGCGTTGTTGCCGAAATTTCAAAGGTCTAAAAGCCGAATTTGTGACAAAACATAGACGATTTCCAAGTGAATTCATTAATAGTATTTTATTAGCATAAGTTATAGTGTGTACAATAGCGTGTGTGTTGAGTGACGAGAAGTTGTTCTGGTCTTCGTGTCTATGATATATCTGCCTGGGTTATACTCCGAGCTACCTTATATGTGGTGTCGGCTTCTGTGCTTTGCAGGTGTCGTCTTGTTTTTGGTTGTTGTTGCCAATTTCAACTAGCTTACACAATTTCTAAGTCGTGTACCCGGCTGTTATGCCCGCATAGTTTCGAAGATTATTACATTATGAAAGGTAACCACTTTTCGTTCGTTCGATGTTTTTGTAATGGTTTGTGTTAACGATTTATACATAATGAAAGGTTAATATATGCATATCATATTCGTAAGGACCGTGGTTTCGAGTTAGCAATTTATACATTGCAAGAGGTTGATGTATTGTGTATTATATTCTATATTACATTCAGAAATTTCAAGGCCCGCAACATATGATTCTATTTTATCGTTCAAACTTAGACACCAACATAACAAACAACTTAAATGCTGTCTAATCTGCCAAAACCACAATTACAATGAACCCCCTATAGTATAGGAATTCTAAACCAAATGTATTATATTGTAAGTTTGTTCCAACATGTGGTTGAACTAGTCAGAGTAGTCAGAGAATGTGCGTGGAGTTTTATTGTTGAGACTCATCATATCATTAGACCAGTTTTTGGATTGGTTTCTGGCAGTCAAAATTATCTAGGTGGGTGACAGATACTGTGATTATGTAAACTCCAAAGCTAGTCCCAAATTCTGTGTTTGAACCATCTTTTTATTGACCAGAATCAAGAGATTCTTGCAGTGTTTTTATGATCTGAACACTTAGCCAGGGTTGGGCAAGATACTTAAAATAAAGTATCAAACGGGAGCAGATGAACAGAGACTTGTGTTATATTTTATAAATAGTTTTTTTATGGATGGATAATTATTTAAACAGTTTAATGATTTGTTATTGTCGTTAAAATATGTAATTAATTCAAGTTCATTTTGTGATTGCTGTTTATTTTCAACCTGAGAAGAAAATATAAAAAAACCGTCTTCAGAATCTCTACTAGATTCATGGTTACTACAATCATTAATAATTTGTTCTGTAGCATTTATACACAAATTTTGTATTATTTTTTTTTTGGTGATCACTAATGTAATCTGGAATCCACCTTAGTTTAAAATTTGGATGGAAACATGTTGCTAGAATAGCTTCATTAATTTCAGGAGATAGTTCAAAAAATAAATTAAATCTTTTTGTAAGAGAGCTTATCAAAGGTGTAATTAAAAAAGCGCAATATTTAAAATTTTTTTCTTTTAAATGTTCTAATCGGGATTTTAAAGAAAACAATGATGGTGCTAAGATTCCGTAGAAACAATTATTTTGAGCTTGCAAACAATCTAGGGCGCAAGCTATTGGTTTTAGTAAAATTATTAATTCATCTAAATATACTAACTCTATGTCTTTAAAGCTACAGTTGACATTTAAATGTTGGAAAAGTATATTTAGTTTGTCCTTAATCTTTAATAATTGACTCAGCGCGTCGTACAAAGAATTCCACCTAGTTGGACATGGATAAAAAAGTGAACAACCTAATAAATTGTGTATGATTTCTGAAGATTTCGGTCGCCTAGACATATTCCACAATGTAGTACATTTACCAATAGCTCCATTATGTAGTCTACTAACTGATGAATTTTTTACTGCTTTTGAAAAATCTGTAGTTGCTATTAGACTAAGTGTGTGGCTAGCACATCGTAAATGACGAGGAAGAAATATTGCCTGCTCATTATTTTCAACATCTTCATCCACTGCAATAACTTGAAAATGTAAAGTTTCACAGTAACACAGACAGAACGAATAGTATGGTACAACGTACAACAACGTGAATAGTATGCTGCAATTGCTTATCTTTACTTTAGATTTTATTTTCTATCTTATGTGGAAATACCTACACGGTTACACTCATATCTAGTACACATTTTTACAATAATAGTATCTTGTATCTTTTGGCAAAAATAGATACATGATACTAGTATATAATGTATCATGAATCATGATACATTATACATTAAAATTATGTATCATGATACAAGATACAAGATACAATTGTATCTTTGATACGTATCTTTGATACTGCCCAACCCTGCACTTAGCTATGTGTAACTTTTCGTAAACAATTTGAAGACTGAAGTTATTGGAGCGAACTTAAAATATTTTACTTATTTATTTGTAATTCTCTGAGAAATAACACATTGTTTTGTATATTTTGTTATGCTGTCCATTGTTAATTAAGTTTGTGCTGTGTTTAACATATAGGCATAGACAAAATGTGTCAAATACATAATTCAAATGGTTTTTGTAAAGCAAAATTTTCTGATAAAGAAAGATTTCGCTGACCATAGAATATGAATTTACCCTTAAATGTTTCTATTTGTTGGTGGGTGTATAAAGAAATAAAATACATACAGCATAGTATAATAATATAATATAATATATAAGTGGTACACTTTGCTTCACCAAGCATATTTTTGTAATATTTTTGTTTATAAAAACTTTTCAGATATGGAAACAATTTCTGATATTGAAATAATACGAAGCCTTTTATACTGTTTCCAAGGAGTTAATAGCCATTGGATAGAATTCAATCAAAACGAAAAACAATTTGTAGTTACAGCTCAAGTATGAACTTGATACATTTTTATTTTTACATATTTATCCATTTACTTATAAAGTATTTTTTAATTTATAGTTAGACTTTTACCAAACTAGCAAAGTGAATCGGCTAATGGAACTTGGATATCTACATAACATAGTGCAAGAGTATATTGAAAACAACAGTGACAACAAGAATGGCTCTGTAGCTTCAGGAATAGCACATTGTTTGCATGAGGAACTTTGTATTTATTATGACAGTATTAACAAGTTGCAAAAAGAGGTTATTCAATTGTTGTAAATTTTTAATACATGATGTAGGTATGTCATTTATATAAGTATTTTGATTTTATTCATTTAGGTTAATGAAGCATATGAAAAATCCCAACAATATTCGCTTGGAAATTTATTGTGTTGGTCTGTTCTTTGGTTAGGGCAATTACAGGATTTAGCGTACACAGTAAAAATGATTGATACTGATAAACGTGGTGGTGAATTAGTATCTGTTATTGCTCCATTCGCACATTGTGCAAATCCCTATTTACAACAAATGGCTACAAATATGATTAAAGTTGTAAGTGATGGTAACTTGTCATAACCATGATATTATGTAAAATGTATAGGTTTGTCTAAACATTTTCAGGCAACTAGACCATTAATGATGATTATGTGTCATTGGATGGTTGACGGGGAACTATTAGATAATTATGAAGAATTTTTTATCTGCCAATGCCCAGACATCAATAATCTTGATATGTGGAACAATCGTTACACAATTCGGTTAATACCTATCTTGTTATGATTATAAATACATTTAATTGATAAAATATATTTATTTATGTGATTTTTGTTGAAGTGAGTCTATGGTTCCAGCATTTTTTACCAAAGAAGATGTAAATAGAATTTTTCGTACTGGAAGGTACATAAATTTTCTACGTACAATATGCAAGAGTAAACCTGATTTAACGCCATCCAGAAAAACTCTGATGGATCTTAGAAATTCTGGAGGTGAGTAAATCTAACAAATTATTTATTTAGTTTTATAATTTTTAGCCCTCTGATACTGTATGCGTTTAGTTTTATTACATTAAGAATCATTACTAATAACTTATAATTATAAATTGTGTTTAGATAAAGATTTGTTTCCAATGTTAGAACAAGGTAGCATTATTTCTGATATGATTAACAAGGCTTGTACTGAATCTTCTACTGTAGTACTGGATACTTTAAAGGAACAGTTTAAGTTATTTTTACACTTCGAGGGACTTAGGCGTTA